CAATAATCATTTGATTATATATTTCTATATGTTAGGAGTTAAGAGCCAAGAGTCAAGTCAAGAATCAATAATGGTTTGATTTGAAATTAATTTGATTCAATCAGACATTCATGATGATCCATATTAGGTTAAAGGCACTTCCATTTCATCAGTTAGTTGAATCAAACAAACATGGTGAATACTGAATACACTATATCATTATCAAACAATCAAACAGTGGGTCCTTCTTGCTTCGTTTCTTGGGCGGCATGGTGGATGGATCGTCGCTCACTCAATGCTAAATGCACTGAGGTGAAACTGAGACACTTCAAGTGGCTTGCTCTGACTCCGTTTCCCAGTGGAGTCGAGTCTATAGGAACAGTGATGGTGTCATCATTCCTCATGGTTTCAGAAGACATATATGTTCAAATTATGTCAAATACTCTCCGATAATACTATACTACTGATTACTGATTCTTGATTATTTTATCCATGCTTTGAGGATTCTGATTCAGCTTTGGCTATCTGAGTGTCACACTGCTGCATACAAGGCTTAAAGACTTAAGACTCAAGACTCAAGACTTAAATTGTGAATCGTGAATTATGAAAGTTCATGACAGCAAACAATATTTCAGAAACGTTTAGTTGAATGTTGAATTCCAGGTGTTTCTGACTAGTGATTATTGATTCAACTTGATTCTTGACTATGATTTACCAAACTGCCTACCAAAAAATTACAATATAATTCATAAACATAACAGTGACAACTCTGAACTGAAACAGTATCTTACTTCAAGTGACGGACAAGTTTTCACCCCTGCGCATGCTGAGTATTGAGCTTGTACTCAAAACTCAACTGTCTTTAACCCTACCATGACACTTTCGCGTCAGCAGCCCAAAGCATGGCGCATGTGCCACATGTTGGCAGAGTGGAACACACAGCTGGGAACATATCTTTGAGGTTTCCCAACAGTTTGCAGACCGACATCAACTCAACTAACTAAAAGGCTTGAGTAGTCAAGTCAGTCCCATCAATCCTAATCAATCCACACACACATCCACACACTAATTTAAATGGCGATTCGGCGATGTGGACACTCCAAAATCAAAAGACGTGTCACACACTGATCTGGCTGTACAAGTGTGCTGTTTCTTCTCTCAGTGACAGCCATTGATGGGTAGACCCAATGCAAACCCAAATATACAATCATGAAATCATGTGCATCAAAGTTCAAATCGAACAGACTGAGAGATTTGAGAGAATCTAGTGAACGATAGTAACTAACAATGCGTCGTTTTTACTCTTCTCGGATTTAGGATTGAACTTTCTGACATCATCAGAGTATCTACAATCTATAATCTAGAATCTACAACACCTTTCATCTTTAACACTTGAAATCGTAATTCTTGATTCCACCACCTCAAGATTTGGTCTGTCACTATGCCATGTGCCTTGTTGCCCTTGCCTGCAGTCCAGCAGGAATTGTCAAAGACTTGTCAGTCGCTAACTTCATGGCTTGCCCTAGCGACTTTGCCAATACATCTGGCGGCTTTGATCCGTCTGCTAGAGCGCGGACAAAACGCTTACATGACATTGTCCTGATCAGAGCCATGGACGTCAGGAGGCTCAGTATGTTGAGGTAAGTACACTTGGCTTTTGTGTACCCTTCATCTGAACCAAGATTCAAATCCACAGCCGATTCGGTTCCCTCACTGCCCACTATGACCTGCAATGGTCAAAATTACTGAACAGTAAACAAACTAATTTGAACATGGTATAGCTTTGTACATAAATCATACATGTAATTAAATAAGTACCTTTAGTCATTCTTTTGGTTATGTTGTCATTTCATTTGATTAGATAGATTGGGTTAAGCTAGTGTTATTTAGTTGTTGTCATAGTTAGTTGTGAAAACTGAACTTAGTTAGGTAGCCCATCAGTAATGACATTACACTGTTGAATCATTTGATGCCTTTTGACTCTTAACTTTTGACTCTGACTGTTGATTCTTCCTGCCTCAATATCCTTCAGGAGATCACCCATCTTACCGCTGTAGCTCAGAAGATCTGATTCCAAATTGGCAATGTCTGACAAAACAGGGATCGATTCAAGTTTGGGACAAGGATCTTCTTCGGGAACATTGAATTCAACAGTGCTGGCATCTGGAAGTGAGCCGACATCCTCATGTAGCTTTAGCAACTCTGTCACCTGCAAGGTCGAAAGCACAATATAGTTCAAAGTTCAATAAGCAAAAATAGAAACAATACCGGTTCTGAATTGAATCTTGTTTATACGTTAATGTGATTTATCTATTTCTAGAGTTCATTGAGATGTGTGAATATTTTAGTTTAAATATTGCTATAAACATGGTAAGTTGTTTCAGATGAGTTACATACTGACAACTCCACAACCTTTGGAATGGTTGAATATATATATTAATGTTCGATCCTGATTAGTAAAGGGGGGTCCCCCCCCCCAAACAAATAGGGGTCCCTCTAAAATAAATTACCACCAAAACAAATCTGGATTCCTGTGAGGATTCCTTTTGTAATTGATTGTAGTATTCAGCTTCCTTTCTCAGGTGCTTTGTAATTGTTCTCAACAATCCTTTTGCTTTGCAGCCTCAGAACTTCAGCTCAAGAGAAGCCCCAAGCTCTCAGCTTCTTCCTCAGCTTCCATGGCTTCCTTCTCAGGAGCTAAGTAAAGGGAGATTGCATGTGCATTTTTTCCAGTGGAAAAAACTTTTCACAAT